ATTTTTTACGCATTCAATTGTTGTACTAACCTATAATATTATTGTAGATGGAGAGATCAATTTTGTGTTACAGAAGTATCTACACATGTTTTGATCCAGTACAGATACATGTTGGACCTCTTGCCACCAGGCTCGATACGTTTTTTAAATGCTAGAATATAAAAATATATATTGATTTATAATTAATTACACGGTTTATTATTACAATTTCAGATGATCTGGAAGCCATATGATAAGGAATTTGCCAACCTACCCGACTTTTGTGTCAATGGACATAACATCTGGTGCACTGTGAGTCCACTCATATGCTTTCATATTGTGGAGTGACATCATCCTGATAGAGTTACAAGACAATTTGGTACGAAACAAGCAATTCCAGAGGTGCCATGCTGGGATAAGAGGATACATGACATCGACATTCGGGATAGTACCTGGCAGGATCATATTGCATATTTTGTGGTGAGGTGGAACATACGTAGAGATTTTCTTGTTATCAATCCTCCAATCGACGACGACGGTACTTGCGATCCAGGATACATGAGCTGGTATACGTTAATCACCAGACGATATATAACTCGAGAAGGAGCAACATTTGGTGCTACGGTACAATCTTTTATTTCGTTATAACAATTATTCAAATTAATAAATACATATTCATTAATTTTTTTTCATGTAGGCTGCGTGTTTCGAGCAAATAGTATTCTCTCGTCATCAGACGAAATTAATACGTTGTGTAACGTTGGCAGGAGGCATCTTCAGAGCTTTCATCAAATGTACAAAGTACCTACTCCAGCTTGTGGCCCTAGGCGTAGAGGACGACGTCAAGTAGATCAAGATGCTCCAGTAGGGCTTGACGATCCCGTACCTGAAGTTATCTATCATAGGGTTGAAGACATTCCACCATTTACACAAACACAGGATGATGCTGGTCCGTCCACGCCTATGGTCATGATACCGACTCCTGGTTCTAGTCAGTATCACACACCATCTTTGCCGCCGCACTATGGCTATAGAGGGGGCCATGGACGTGGACGTGGAAAGCATGAACAATACTTTAACCCTACGGAGGATCGAGACCCTACAGAGAGTCAGGAGACACCAGCGGCACCATTAGTTCGTTGTCAGCCACATCGTAACCGACGACGTCCCCATTGTGGAACGGATTAGATCGATAGACTGTAAATTGACAGACTTCAAACATTGTTCTCTAATTTATAATATTAATTTCCAATTTTGAACTAACATAGATAACTTCATGATTATATAAGAAAAAATAAAATATAAATTTTTGTTTACACACCATAGGAATAGAATAAAGTTTAAATAAAAACTTTTGTTAAATTAAAATACAAATTAATAAATTTTGATAAATGAATAAAAAAATTAATAAAATATGATAACAAAAATTAATAAATATGGTTAATAATAAAACAACTATATTTTAAAAAAATTTCTAAATATACCATATTTTTAATATTTTTAATTAAAATATAATATTTTTAAAATAAGTTTTATTATTAACTATATTAATAAAAAAACCCGTGAAGGAAGTTGCGAGTTAAACGAGAGTTGAGCAAAAGGAATGAGGGAGAGAGAGTAAATAATCACCAAATATTTTTTTAATTAAAAATTTGAAAATTAAAAATTGGGAGAAACCAAATCTCAATCTCTCAGTCATTAACGGTAGTAATTGGTATTCAAATTTCAAATTTGTCCCCTCTTTCTTTCATCCCCATTTTTTCTCTCTTTCCTCTCATTCCTTCTTCGTTCCCAAAATCCCAATTCGATAGTCACCAAAAATTTGGGTATGGGTATCCTCATTGCAGTCACTACCCAGAGCTTAAATGAGGAAAGTGAAATTAAAATTGCAATAATTACAGAGACAATAAAACAAAATCTTGTATTTGTATACTGAAATCATGAAGTTTTAGGTTGCAGAAAGAGCCAGAGAAATAAATAAACTGTGGAAATTAAAAAAGGAAAAAAAAAAAACCAGAAATTTTCGCACTAATCGTTCGTCAATATTTTCCTGGGTAACTCTTTCAATCTCGATCACTCTCTCGCTCTCGATCTCGATCTTGCACCCTCTCTCGATCTCACTCTCGCTCACTTTTTTGATCTCGATCTCGCTCAGAATCGGATGTATGAAAAGAACAAAAAGTTGAACGGATTCTGAGCGGCAATGACAAGAGCGAGAAAAGAAAAAGCTAGTGGTCCGTGCGGAGAACAAGAGGGACGGAGGAAGTGAGAGAGGCGCCAGGTTTTTTTAGAGAGAGAGAGTGTGAGAAAGAGAGAGGAAAGAGACGCTGGATTGGGCGTGGGTTTTTAGAGAGAGAGGGTAAGAGATTTGGATCTTGTTTTCCTTCCCTATATTTTTTGAATGAAACTCAAAACTAAATTACAGAATTTCAAAAAAGAAAAATTACATTAATATCTTCAATAAGGCTGCCTTTCTAAAACTCTTCCACAGCTTAAACATTTTGAAAAGATCAATGACCCCACCCCCAAAGAAATTTTCCTTTATTATTTTTAACTTTTTATTTTTTTGACTAAAAATCTTTCAGAAGCTCTCTTTTTTCTTGCAACATTGTTTGCAGCTTGAAGCTAAACACAAAACAACAAGGACTTCCCATGTTGTATTTTTGCAGATTCTGTCCACCAAAGCTGAGGATTGGAGGGCTTCATTTCCCTTTACTTCAGAATTTGAATTCCATTCTTCTGGCTTTAGCCAAAGCAATCCCCTATTCACACTGCCAAACCATACATCGAAAGATTCTCCACCCCATTCAACCAAATAATACCAAAATGAAGATCAAGACCGTAATGCTCGAGCTAAACGAAACTCATGCTTCAAGAGCGCTTGGGCGTTTTTGTCCAAGCCAAGGATAAAACAGAATATTGTGTCAGTCAGAGCATTCAAATGGTTTTTGAGGCTTCATCACTTTCAAGTCTAATGTAGATAAATTTGTAACTACAAGAAAATCATCAGCCAGTCGAGTTTTTTGTCTTTTGACCTTCTTCGTTATCGTCCTCTGATAAATCAGATTCAACATCAGAGTCCAAAACATGATCTCTCACATTGTGTTTGCCCCCAACACCAAAATCTTCAAATCTAATGTAGATAAATTTGCAGCTACAAGAAAATCATCAGCCAGTCAAGTTTTTCAATGTTATTC